TGCTGCCCAACTGGCTGGTGATATCGTCGCCAGATGCGAGCAACCGTTACAGCGGAGTGGCGGTTTTTGCCCGAAGACGCGTTTTCGATGAAGGCCGGATGAGCCATGTCACTTGGATTCCCGGGCGACTGCTACATGTTCGCTACGACTCACCACGAGCAAAACTGGACATCGTAGCAGGCTATCAGGTTGTGCGGCAGAAGGCGACTGCTGCTCAAACCCAGCAAAGGCGCCACGTCTTCTGGACAAAACTTGGACTGTTACTACAGGGTATACCAGCCCGGAATGTCTTGGTTTTAGGAGCTGACCTCAACACTGCCTGCCGCCCCCTTCCTGGTCTGAACGGTCGTGGCGTCATACGTGCACGAGGAGCCCTGACGAGGAGATGGAGGAGCTACAGCGGGTAAATCAGTTAGTCACGTTGAACACATGGGGACGAGCTGCCCCGGGGAAAAGCCGTACCTTTGAAAATGGCGAGACTGCCTCGCAGATTGACTATGTCTGCACGTGGCGGCATTTCGCTGACGTGGAGGCCAGGCTTTCTAGCCCCCTGGCTCTTGATCTCGCTCCTTGGCGGAAAGGACCGAAACATTTTCCTGTGATGGCTAGTCTTCCTTGGGTTCAGGGTTGGAAACTTAGGCCTAAAAGTGTGGCTAAGCCGGGGATATCGAAGCGGGATCTTATACAAACCATTCAGCGACAACATCCCTCAGCCTGCGAACTCCGCGAACACCTGCTCACCGCGATAGCAAGACTCGGGCCAGACGGCACGATCGAGGAGCTCAACCATCAAGTGCTTCCTGTCTGCCAACGCCTTTTTCCGTCGCGGAGAAAACCGACAAGGCCAGAGCAATCGTCCGCTAGCAAGCAGGTTAAGCAGTGCATTGATCAGCCAGCCGCGAGTTGAAAGTAGCCTGCAAGCAGAAGCGTCGAGAATGGCTCGACGAGCAAATAGCTAGAGCTGAGTATGCTGCTTCCAAACACGACTTGAGTGCTGTGTATGCTGTTATCAATGTCCTCGCTCCCAAACGCAAGATTGATAAGGTTCGCATTCGATCTGAGAAAGGGCATCTTCTTAGTGTTGAGAACGAATTTCGTGATATCTACCACTACTTCGAAACTGCTTTCAGTCGTGAAGCGGAGTACGACCTGCCAGAGTTTCTCGCGCCACTCGTCTTCTCTGAAGAGGAGATATGGCTGGCTATCCGAGGTCTCAAAGGAGGGAAGGCTGTACCATCTAATAGCATGCCTGCTGATGTTTGGAAACTGGCTCCAGTTGAGCTGTCGCAACTGTGCACGAGTATCTTCAACACCAGCTCTGTGAACGGTAACAGGTTCCCATCCGAGACCACGGGTTGTCAGCTCACTCTCTTGCCGAAACCGGGCAAACCCAGCCGCCGACCCAAAGACCTTAGGCCCCTAGGCATCCAAGATCCCAGTAGCAAGGTTCTCGCCAATGCTCTCAAGAATAGGGTTTTGGAAGAGGTTGGTCCCTATCTTATAGATAGGCCCCAGTTTGCTTACTGCCCGGGGAAAGCAATAGATGATGCTCTTAGTAGGGTCGCCGCTCACTGCACCAGAGTACGGGACCGTCTGCAGCAAGGCTCGCTCAGTGTGCATGCCCGCAGGGAAGGCCAGCGCAACAGTGTCTCATATGGGGGTCTTATGATTAGCCTAGATATGAGTCGCGCCTTCGATGAAATCCCTAGGCGCATGCTGGAAAAAGCCTTGGTGCACGCTGGAGTCTCCGAAGAACTCTGCCATGCCATATTGTCTCTTCATGAACAATGTAAGTATGAGGTTCGTCATGAAGCTTTCAAGGGGGTCTTTAACATGAAGAGAGGGGTGAGGCAAGGGTGCTCACTTGCACCCCTGCTGTTTGCTGTCTTCAGCTGCTGGATATACGACGTCATAGCACTGCACGTGGACTCCAGCTGGGCCGACCGGCTTTTGACGCTGTTTGCGAATCGGGAATGCAGGTGAACCCCAGTAAGTCCCGGGTTGTACTAGGCTTTAGAGGCAGTGCAGCGCGCAGGTGGATCCGCAAACATACCTGCTGTGTAGACGGCTCGCCAGCTTTGAGCCTGGGCACGCCAGCGGAGCCTTTGCTGATTCCTCAGGTCTCCTCCATGGTATACCTAGGTATTGTGGTGTCCTATACCAGTTTCGAGGCGCAAACCCTCTCCCATCGCATCCACGCAGCCATGCAGAATCGGCAGAGGCTCCTCAAACTGCTACACAGCAAGCGGATTGCTGTCAAGAGTCGTGTCAGACTCTACGCGGCTTGCATACGCAGCACGCTCTTCTATGGGCTCCATGCAGTCGGCCTGCCCGAAGATGTCCTGCGTAGAGTGGATGCCTTCGACTCCAGATCTTTACGAGCCATATCTAACTCCCCTGCACATCTCACACATGAGAATACAAGCGATCTGCGAGCGCGTCTTGGGATCAACTCACCGCGAGACTATTTCCTCTCCCTGCTCCAGAGGCGTGCGCAGAGAAGTGGCGATGCTACCAGCAGTGCTAGGTTTCAAGCGTTGTTCCAGCACCTTATGCAATCTGGCACGCAATCTGTCGCAGGGGAGGAAGAGGTCTTCCTCTCTGAGAGCTGTGGTGTGGCCTGTAAAATTTGTGGACAACTCTTCATCAATAGCCGCATCATGAGATCCCATAAGGCTAGGAAGCACCGACCTCCCACCCATAGTGACCCTAGTCCCCTTCCTGACCCACCACAGCCTGAGTCGCAGAGCAAACAACAGGGCCAGGGTGTACTTGCTGCTGCCACATATAACTTGTATGCCGTGGATGGCATGCCCAAATGTCGACTGTGCGGTGAAACTTTCACTAGGGTTGAGGGTCTTAAGAAGCATATTAATCGTGGTTGCAAAGTCCTGGACATTCCGTCCAATGTCACTGCACAGACTGCTTCGGATGCAGGCCCCACCCAAGCAGAGGTCCAGGTAGCCTCTGCTGGGGAGGAGATTGGGGAAACACAGGTCCCCGCTCCTCAAGGGGTCCATCCATCAAAGTTGCTAGGTGATGACCAGCCTCTGCTGCAAATCCCGGAATTTCAGCAAACGCTTGAACAAGGATGGCGGAAGGTGCTCCAAAATCCCTCGTTTTGCTCCTCGCTGCGTCAGTACTGCGTTGTCTGCCATCAATGGCTCTCCACGGTTGGGCCTGGCTGCAAACAGCACTATCGTACCATGCATGCATCGGAGTACGCACTTGCTGCTGATGCTGTGGCTCGTGTATCCAGCATAGGCTTAGTGCCCGAGAGCCCCTGCCGTTATTGTGGACGCAAGTGCCTCGATCCTCGTAAGCACCTCAAAGGATGCATGCCAGTCTTTCAAGCTGCATTAGCTGGGCTAGTTCATACCTCGCGTTCCAAGGTGAAGGATGAGCACACCGATGGAGGAGGAGGAGAAGGAGAAGCGGGCAGCCGTCTCCAGACATGCCCCTCCTTCGAAGATCAGGCAAAGGTCAGCAGTGCGGAGCGCTATGCACAGAAGCTGCTGGAGTCGGGATGTGCCACGTTGTGGCACTCAGCCCGCCTGGTGGCAGGCCTGTTAGAGACTGAGCTGCCTCGTCAGCGGTTTGCTGCCGCCCTCCGCGCGGGTCGCAGCGCTACCTTTGGGGTCTATGGCAAACATCAGTTTACAGGGATCTGCCGTCAGACATATACGCATCCCAACACCACCAGACTTCTGAATGCCCTCGTACTTCGTGTATGTCCATGGCACCGCTGGAGCACTATAGCTTTGCTTCTAAATTTTCGGACACCCGTGCACGTGGATGCTCAGAATGGTCCAGAGCCAAGTCTCCTTCTTGCTTTATCTGCCCACGCTGGCGGCGAAATCTGGGTTGAGGAAGCTGACGGCCGACATTATGTTGAGCATCAAGATCGGTGGATCCGCGGAGAGAAACACTCCTTGCAGATGCAGGCGATTAGATTTTATGCAAACCGCCATTTGCACTTTACCTGCCCGTGGCAATGGATGGATCGGCTGGCGTACACGGTGAATCGCTGGCAGTCGACCTCCCCATTCCACCAGGAGCGACTGGAGGAACTGGGTTTCGTGTTGACGGAACGTCAACAACTGCAGCATGTGCCTGGAAGTCTGCCCACCGTTATGAGAGATGGGTTTGCATAAGTGCTAAAGGTATTGCCGACCGTCTTGAGGTTTTTCCCGGAGGCTCTGTAGACGTCACCAATAAGGTGTGTCTTCTTTGTACAGGTTCGAGCTTTTCCTTTCGCCCAAAAGTGAAGCGTACTGCCTGCGGAAGGGGCCCACTCTTCTGAACTGTTCATTGTGCCCTTGCTTGACAGTAAAAGTCAAAGTGGCGAGGTCAGCGACTGCACCCTCCTGCTCACTCCTACCCAGCATAGTGTGCCTGGCAACTCACCCAGTCCCAGGTCATGGCCATCTGTGCGACTGCTGGATGTGAGCGCTCGGTGCAGCTGGGCCGACTTCTGTGCTGTAGCGACTGCAATCTGGGGATGCACAGTCGCAGATGTGATCGAAGGTGCACAAACCCTCTTCGGTACATGATTTCATCTTGTCTAACAGCTGGATGCTCGCACTTGGCCTCATGCCGTCATACCCATTGCTGCTCGGACTGCACCAACACGGGTGGAAGGAGCCATAAGAAAAGCTGCTACAGAAGGCAAGGTACCCTTCTTCGTCACCAACAGGCCGGTGACAGCAGCTCAATGATCTCTTCGAGATTGATCGTCGCCCTGGTAGAACTGCCACTGCCTCCATTCTGATTGCCCATCAGGTTTGGTTGAGCGGACTAAGACGATGTTCAATGCTTCTTTCATTTCCATCCGAGGAACTGTCAACAGTGCAGTGCTACCACAGTGTAGCCGGACTAAGTCTGTCCCCCCTACGTCGAACGCAACTCTGTGCGAGACGAGTGCAATGCAATACTACGACGACGACTACTACTATTACTACCAGTAGCCTTCGTCGTCATGAAGATGATCAGAGCGCGAGGTTGCACAATATGGGCCATCTTCTCGGGCTTTGGACTAAGCTCAAACCTACAACAGCGTGCGGCTTGCTGTCTGTTTCAAACAGTGCAGCGACGCATGGACCTGGCCGTAAATTCCTGCACCGCAGCTGAGGCTTGAGACTGACCAAAGCAACGAAAGCCAGGCCGCATCCTTGACCTTCCCGGTGTCTTCTGTGGAGAACAGCCCTGGCCAGCTTTGGAAGGCCCAGCCCGCTTGATGGGCGGCTCTTATTCTCATGGAATTTGGCTGGTGCAAAAGAAGGGGCCAGCGATGTTTGCATTTGAGACATGCTCCAGAGGAATCCTTGCTGTGCGAGTGTATCCGAATTTGCCTTGCAAGGCCGAAGATGCACGTTTATGCAGTTGAACTCGCAAGTCGACTTCTGGCTCCAAAATGGCGAGCACAACTGTTTCGGTTTGATGCAGCTGGGAGGGGGTGTCTTGTACTGCCGCAACACCCTGCAACGCTCTTCAGTGGAAGTCCTGCAAGCATGATCCACGGCAAGTAGCAACACTCACGTAGCAGTAGCACATCCTGCCACACTCAACAGATTTTGGAAATAGAGAACGGGCGGCACGGCTGGCCTGCATGGCAGGCCAAGAGGATGCTGCCTGCCCGAGCGTAAGCTGCCGAGCTTCTGACGGCTTCAACTCAGAGACCCGGGAATTTTTTTGCAGCCCGCTACGAATCCCCAGGTCTGGTACGGGCGTGTGAAATGTGGAATGCTCGTTTTCTGGATCTTCTTCACAGGCCGGAACCTTGAGAAGGTGCATAGGCTTCCGAAAACCGAACGCAGGAATAGACCTGTGGATGTGGCATTGGAACCAATCGCCGCTGTGGTTGCTGGCTTGCCTGGCCAAAGCCCCAAGCTGGTTTCACTGACCTCTAGTCTCACGGACCCGGCTTTTAGGCGGTGACGAACGGATGGGGTTGGCTGGATGCCGTCCTGTGCCGAGCCCAGCTGTGATGCTCAGAGAGCAAGCGTTATTCTAGAGATCATGAAGGCGATATCCCGTCCTCCATGACATCGACAGCCCGTTCACGCTGAAGAATCTGCTCTTGATTGCCGGGACCTTGACAGTCTAAGTCTATGCTTCGACAGCTCTGAGTGGCTGCCTATGTCAGTTGGCGAAGATCTGTTGGCTCATCACGGTTTTCCTGTGGTGCCGACATGTTTAAACTGTTTGCAGCTGGTTTGGATTGCGGGACATGCATGATTGTCGCGGTGCAGGCGGCACAAGTCACACCCGGTCTCTTTCGTCGTGCATGGCCCAGTCAACTTCCGGATCACTCTCGGCCGTCTTCGTCGGACAGCTGTTCTGAGCCTGGGAAGTGCTCAGTTGTGTTCCATGCTGGCGATCGTCGTGCCTGCATCTCAGCGTGGATGTCCTTCGCAGCGCTCCGTCCCTCCCCAGCCCCCGCCCTTCGAGACCGATGTTTTACGCGATGCTGCTGCCACTGGATGAGACCGAGCAGGCCGGGAAGCTGGGGCATGCTGGGGCCTGGGCCTGATGGCATCCCCAAATTTCCGGCATTTTCCCCCCCCACCAGGTGTACAACCTGATAAAGTCTATGTACACGGACGAGGACATCCTCGTGCGCTTGGCCCTCCGGGTTTTTCGAAGTTTAGCATGGCCTCCTCTAAAGTATAGTTGAAACGCCCGTGTGCCCTCCTCGAGGCTGCTGGCGCTTCTTAAGGAATCCCTGGCAAACGATGGAGGCTCGCGGATTGCTACGAGACCGTGCGGGCTTAACCCCTTTTGGGCTTTCGAAACTATGTTGCGCGTCGTGGTACCTGCGTCAACAAGAGATGACTTAGGCCAGGGTTCTGCAAAAAAGTGGCTTCAGCACTGCCTCGTGCTCGCACAGCTCGCACAGGCCTGGAACAGGCAGCGCCACAGAATAATCAAACGAGGCCGGCTTGGCCACACTTGGCTGTCTTTGCGCTCTGCAAGCTGCACAGATCTGCACACGAGATGTCGGTCGTTGAGGCTGCGAGGAGATCGCCGAGCGATCCCCGACGGTTGCCGCGAAGCTCGGAGAGTCTGCAGCCCGGATCAGTTGTGGAATTGCAACCGCAACATACCGCAACCATCTGGGAGAAGCTTGAGCGTTTTGCAGTTCTGCCGTTGGCAAGGCTGAGCCCGACGCGAAGAGCGATGCTGCGCAAACCCGGGCGCAGCGTCTAAACAGTGGAGAGATGCATGTTGCTGTTGCACTGCTGGACTGCACATGCATCACCCATTGCAACAGGTCGTGCTATGACCAGACAGCCTCAAAGCTCATCCTGAAGCCTCTTCTGCGATCCTAGTTTTTTGCCGGGGATGAACATGCCGCACCAACGTACACACACACACACAAGCGCTGTTGGAGCCTTAAAGTCAGTTTAGCCCAAGATATATTACGCAGGTTTGGGTCGCACAGGATGATTACTCAACACTTGCCGAGATGGTGATGCAAACACGAATCCTCGCTGTGCGACTGTGACGCGAAGCCAGCTCGCCATGTTCGCTGCTGAGCTGTCGTACACATCGCAGGCCAGGGTTTGAGGTGATGAAGTTGCTTCTGAAGCTTTAAATACCGAGGCCACTGCCAAATCATTATGCAGTGGTTTATTTGCGGTTAGTTTGGCAGCGGATGAGTGATGTAGCTTGTCTTTGTTTGCGGTTTCGTAGTGATTATTTTGCGAGCTATCTGTGAGTTCCTGTTAGATTCAAATTTAGCGAGACATTGGTGAGAAAGTAGCGAATTCTTATCCATTCCCATCGAACTCAGGATGAGCCAATAAATGTACCATCGCCAATGTCTGTTGCTTTGCATAAGGACCACTGGATCTTGTTTAGAAATTTAACGGAATCAATACTGATTTTCTCACGGGGGTCAACGGATTGCCTAGACCTATATTGCTACCTACTGCGACAAGTAGCAGTGCTTTTCTTTGGTTCTCTCAAACTTCGTGCAAACCTCTCTCCAACATCTCGAATTTTCTTGCAACTTGCTAGCAAAGTTCTCTCATATTTCTCGCAGAGTTGTCTGCAGCTCGTACAAACATTATCGATAAGATCTCGCAAATCAAGTCTTTAGCAGTTTCCAGTATTTGGGTTCCAGAGATGATCACAACTCCGTGGCAGGAACCAACGCATGTCGGCCGCCATGTTCTGCATTTGGATGCATCGCACGGTGCCCACCTTGTCTTTCCACATTCGTTCCTGCAGTCCGAAGTCGTTGTAGGTTGCAGGTGCCCTGTAACTTTCTGAGGTGAGCAATCCGTGATAGGGCAGCTCATCCGCAAAGATGGCTCGAACAGCGACCAATGAAACCGCTTTTTTGAATTGCAGTCTGCCTGAGGTGTGGCGCTTCCGCACTCTTCGCCCATCTTGCCAAGCTGTATCCAGAGCTGGAAGTGCAGCATGTCCACTTGTGGGAGGAGGCCACTCGGAAGGAGATGGAGTACAACTTAGAGCATGTGCTTCGGCCGCACTAGTGCGCACTTGCCCATACTCCCCAGATAGGACCACATGAAGGTCTTAAGCTCAGAGCTTCGCATGTCAGGTCAATGCCAAAATGGCAATGCTGGCAGGAAGCGGATCTGAGGAGACCATGCAGCAGTTTGCCGGCATTGAGGTGCTTGCGAAACAGCTTGCAACCGCCAGAGGTCAGGATCATCGGTGATTGCTGAAGTTTTGACTTTGTTGTAGTGGTGTAGCTTTCGATTTCTGGTGCTTTTGTTGTCTGTCTTTGTGTTCTCATTTCTGTGATCAAAGCTTTGGCGCAGGTCTGGTGGTGTCTGCTCCCATGTGGAACTTCGCGGTGCCGTATGTTCCCTGCTGGCAATGGGTGTAAGAGCTCTTCGCGATTCTTACTTGCATTATTTGCCGCAAGGTTGTAAAGCAGTACTTCGACTGCGTGCTTCATCCAGGTCACGTGGTTCGTGTCGCTGCATCTCGTGGCTGAAGTCTGCAGTTGATGGTGCCGCGCAGGATTGACGTTCAAGGAAGTCAGTGCTGGCCCCTCTGGACTGCTGGGTGGCGGCCGCCCAGTGGTTTTGCTGACTTCGTCAGGCGGTGCTGCCGCGAAAGACTACCTAACTCCATGGATATTGGAAGCTCGACTGAGGGTTCAGGGTTCATGCAAATTTGATCATCCTTGTGCATTCCCGCTTCTCGTAATCTTGGCATGCTTCATCATCATGGACCACTTGCGTCAGTCTTTTGTGCAGCAGCATGGTATCGTCGGGCACCGGAGGACGTTGCAGCCATGGCTGGCTTTGACAGACCTAAAGTGGTTTCAGCCACTGGTCTCGTCAGTGGTTGCCCCAGTCAAACCGCCGGGTTCGCAACGAAAGAGTAGAGACTTAGTGACCCAGTGGCCCAGGCAGAGACCGTGTGACGGCCATCGAGGTTTTCCGCAACCAAGCAGAAGCTGCGGCGGAGCACCTTTCTCTCCAACCGGGAACAGACAGGTACGCATTGACGGTGATGGGACTTGCATGGAGCTGCCGCAGTGGCACCCCCGGCAGGTCAACCAAGTCGCTGGACGAAGAGATTTCCTCCGCGTGTGGGTACGAGGATTTTCCGGGAGGATCGAGTAGTAGTGATGAGTGATACCCACGCAACACCTTCAACTCTTAACCAAACTACGCATCCTCCTGGACCACCTTCTCTCCAGAATCACCGTATCGCTACTGAAAATCAAAGGACATTCGGGCCACGACGGAAACGAACGCGCCGACACCTTAGCCAAGAAAGGAGTTACCTCCTTCTCCACAATCGGGAGGCATTCCTACCCTCCCCGACAACCTTTGAGCGATACCATACGTCTTTCCGCCCCACCCCTATTCGAGAAGCTTTCGGTAGAAGAACAAGCCACAGCGCTCCAGGAAGCTGCGCTGAAGATAGCGCCCCGCACCAAACAGGAACGCACCTACCATAAAGAATACTTATCGGAACCGACCAAACGACTCATCGATCGCATTTCCTCGACCTCCCCGGATGATCACGAAGCTTTGCAAAAACTCCGAAAAGCCATCAAACGACGTGCCCGTAAAGACAAAAAACAACATCTGTGCGATAACCTGCTCCAAGACTCTAAAGGCCCCACTAAAGTCTGGAATCACAGAAACCTCCCAGAACTCCCTTCCGAACCTATTTTCCCCCCGGCTCCCATAGACACCAGTCCATTTACGGAACCCGAATTATTAAGGGCGCTGGCGCGCCTCAAGAATCGCAAAGCCCCTGGCCCCGATCAATTGCCGGCGGAAATTTGGAAGTTCGCGCCTAGATCGGTTCATGTTGCGCTACTGGCGCACTTTAACAAAACCTTTACGCAGGCAATCTCGCCTAAATCCTGGAAGGTGGCAGACATAGTGATGATCTTTAAGGGTAAAAAGAAAGACCCCACTCTCCCTATAAGCTACCGCCCCATCTCATTGATCAACACGGTTTATAAGTTGTATGCTTGTCTTCTCCATGACAGATTAAAAACGGCTATTGATGACCGTATCTCGCCGGTTCAGTTCGGTTTTAGAACCGGCAAATCCACCTCTACGCCTCTATTCGTCCTTCGACGATTGCTTGAATTACATGAAAGACACCAGGAATCCTTCTATGCTCTGTTCCTTGATTGGTCACAGGCTTTTGACTCAGTCTCCCACCCAGCGTTGCGCAACGCACTGCAGCGAGTAAGTCTCCCCGATACATTCATTAATCCGGTACTGTCAATCTACGAAGACTGTCATTTTCGAGTGAAGGACGCGGGCTATACGTCCCGCCCGCAAGCCTTCGCCCAGGGCATCCGCCAGGGATGCCCCTTATCGCCGTATTTGTTTATCATTACCCTTTCAGTGCTTTTTCATGACACGTACACAGCGTACGTTGCAGAGTATGGCCCCCGACCTTCAGTACTTACTACCGATTTTCGCCTTACAGATATAGAGTATGCCGACGATACAGTTTTATTATCTCGCACGAGACTGTCCCTACACCGTTTTCTTCACACATTACAGGCCCACTCTTACAAAAGGGGCATGTCCTTGAATCACGAGAAGTGCCAGCTTCTCTGTATCAACACTGATTTGCCCGTATACCTAACTGATACCACAACCCACCCTTGCCAATGTGACTTCTGTTGCACGAGAAGCAACCCACAGCTACCCCAAGAACTCCGCATAGATCCTAAACCCCACGCCGATTACTTAGGAGCTGTTCTAACTCATAACTCAGCCGCCAAAGCGGACGCTAAAAAGCGATATGCGCAGGCCTCGCACGCGGCCAAATGTTTACATGACTTCTTTAAGCACCCCTCCATAACCATTAAGCGAAAGCTGCTAGTTCATTCCCAGATCGTGTTGGCCATCCTTTTGTATGGCTCGGAATCGCAGATGTAGTTACAACCTGACCTCACTAAACTGAACAAGCTACACTACAAGGTCCTTAGACAGATCTTCAACATCAGAAGTTCCTTTTATCATAAAGTCTTGGAACCATCGGAGGCAGAATGCTCCAACGAATATTTATCCCAGCTTGCCTATGAGTACGCCCCCAAACTTGTATCTCCATCACAGAATATCATTTCATCCCGGATCTCTTACCTCGGACATATCCTCAGACATGAAGATTCAATCGAACACATCTCCACCTACCAAACAGCACATGCCTACAGACGCCTCCATAGGAAAAGACCTGGCCACCCTCGCACACATTGGGCCGAATTGACCATGACGCAAGCGTACCAACGCTATCAAATACTTTCCTCGAATTCCCCTATTCCCCGCCCCTACCAAATACACCACGATATCTATCACCATCCTACAGAAAGAGAGGTGGCTGCTGCCCATTCCAGATTTTTTGGTAATACTGACCTTTGGAGGACCCTACAGCCGCTAGCTCAAAACCGTAGATCCTGGGCTCAGTTAGAAGTTTTGCGTTAATCAGCTGAAAGGGCTGCTGACGAGTAGTCTCACTTGTGGACTTGCTCTGCGCGAATGAGAGAGTGATGTTAACTCATGCGCGGTTCGGAGGCAACCCGGCTTTCGTGGTGGTACGGCTTCGTGTTGTGGTGATACTTGCACATGTATGTATCACCAAGTTCACCAAAGTAAGGCCTGAACACGTTAAGTCATAATAGTGTTCCCTGGGTCGGACAGGCGGCGGTTACTGGAGAGACGCAAAGAACTCGAGACGGGATATACAGAGAACAGCCTCCAGCTGTCGAAAGACAGGAGCTTCGAAGTTGGTTGGAGAGCACTGGCGGCTTGAGCTCCGACTGCTTGGACTCTTTGGAGGCGGCACGCGTCAGCGGCGAACTGCTGCTCGGATGGCGTAGATCTGACGGGTGTCTTCGGACGTTCTTCCCAGCCTCGGTGTGTCTCTCTTCACGGACTTGCCTAACAAGTCGAAGAGATCACTTGCCCCTTTCCGCCTTCACGGCATTCTCCTAGCAGGTTTCTATCTGCTTCTGACCACGACTGGCGTGACGAAGAGCTGGGTCTCGAAGAGGTGGCACTTGCCAGCACAGACTTTTGTAACATCTCTTGTGCGGATCAACGGACTTTCCGTTTTCGTCCTTCGTTCCAGCAAAGCTGGGGAAGTCTTGCAATGTTTCTTGTTGCGGCATGCCATGATGTGGAAATCAGTTCTGTTTATCACTGCACTGGTGGAATTGGCTCTTTCCTTTGTGTTTCCGTCGCCAAGACTAGCAGTTAGAAGCGGCTGGTAAGTCGGCTTGTATGATAACGGTAAAACTGCACAACGTCTTTGCGCATCTTATCTACAGAGTGCTCTGAATGCAACCCACAGACAAGAAGGACAAGAGTGTCGAGCAGGATGCCTCCTGCTCAGTACTTTCGCTCTGACCTCGCTCGGGCTCGTGGCGATGCCTGACGGAGGCTGACATCGCGCGTCTGCAAGAGCTGCAGAAGCTCTTCCGTGAACAGGCTCGTGAAGAAGACTGATGCAGAGGCCCGTGTCGCTTGGAGCACCCAAAGCCGGGCTCCTGATCGGGAAGCTGATCGAGAAATTTGCAATGAGTAAGTGGCGAAGCTGTAGGCTTTGCATTCTGTTGAGGGCGAGTTATGCTAGCTGATGGGAGCTTGTCACCCCGAAGCTGCTTTGTGCCAACCTTAGTAACTAGTATTGACGCACATGGACGGAGATGCTTTGGTGAGCATCATCCAAGAGCTGTAATCATAGACTAGTATGAGCAAAGGTTTGTTCATGGGTTGCAGGCTACCACAGGTGAAGTAGACATGGTGACTGCGCCATGGGGGGCTTACTGCCGAAGCCCGTCACAACAAAAGAGATTCAGGAGCGCTCCCTCTGCTCTGCAGCTATTGCATCACTTGTTCCAGTGGCCATCTCACCTGCCAAAGATTTACTGATCAGTCCGTGTTGTGACGTTCACTGTCCGCGTCTGTGCCCGTGAGGACGGAAAGAGTCAGACCGGCCACTATGCCTTTGGTGTGAGCTCCATGCAAGGATGGCGTCCCGCCATGGAGGCCCGCCCCTCAACTCGGAAGGCTTGAGTTCCAGTAACACGAGTGGTATCGCAAGGCAACGTCTCAGTGATGCAAATCATTGTAGCAACGTCAGATCAGAACAGCCAGCAGGTGCATCAACTGTAGTATAGGAGTGGTGGCAACGTGGTACATAGAAAGGAACACGCCATCAGTATGACCAGCTGAAGAAGCAATCTCAATCTCAACAAAAGGATTCTAACTAGCTTTTGGATGGCTTTTCGGCTCCAGGTCTGTACACATGAAGCCTGTGATTCCGTGATCGAGTATTTTTCACAGTCAGAGATGGAGAGTTTTAGGAGGCCAAGAATGCTGTGGAAGGGTGCCAGTATAGATTACTGGCACTGAAGCCTGGACCAGAACTTCCTCTTTTTTTGCAGCAGCCCCGTACCCGTCATGAGGTGGTTTTGAAACAACAATAACAACCACCATGATAGCAACGCGACAGCAACAGCAACAACGACGACGACGACGACGGTAACAAGAAGTTGAAAAGGCTGAGCTCGTAGAACCATGAACGATGCTTGGCGTCCAGTGCAGCAAGTGACGGGGTTCTTGAGCTGAGGATGCCCACATGGCCATTCCAGACTTCGACCCGGAACGCGAGCTTGGACTCTTCGGGGTCTTTGATGGCCACGGAGGAGCAGCGGTGCGCCGGGCAGCTCTGCTCTCCCGAAGTGCAGACCAGGGGGCTTCTTGGCCAGGTGGCCAAAGTTGCCGCTGAACGCTTCCCAGAAACTCTGAGGGCGCTCCCCGCGTTTAAGCAGGTGCCGGGTCGGCTTGCAAGGCAGTGTGATGCAGCTTTGTCTTCGTGATTGAGCTGCCAGGGGCGCTACTCTGAAGCTTTGTATGAGGTGGGGCCTGCGACCCTGACTGTGAGGCGTTCCAGTGCTTGTGTTTATGCCTGTCAGTCTTTCTTGAAGCTGGATTCGTTCCTGGACAGTCCCGCCGGCAGAGAAAAGGCCGAGGATTTCCCGGCCGCAGAGCCCCGGTGCTGCAGCGGGCATGTTTCGAGCAGAGGTGAAGGAAGCCACGCCGGCTCCCGTCGATTCCGAGATGGAGGAGGAGCCCAAAGCATCGATGAGCGACGTGCGACGCAGTGCGACGACTGAGCGCGCATTCGCTTCTTTTGCGGAGGAAGAGCTGCTCCGGCTCCTGGAGTCCGGAGAGCTCGACCCCGACGACCTGGACCTCGAGGAGGCGGAGTGGGGCCGGGCTTTTTCCTGTGAGAGGTCTTCTTTTGACGTTCAAGCTGAGAATTGGTATTGCAGGATGAGGAGGTGGAAGAGGCCCCCGCATTGGCGAGGACTTGCCAGCCTTCGAAGCACTGAAGTGCAAAGGAGGCTGCAGAAGACGACGAGGCTGAAGAAGCTTCTGGCTCGAGCTCAGATTGGGCGAACGCCGAGGGTCCAGACGGTGTGATCCTGAGCACCTCCAGAATCGCGGTCCCGCAGTCTTCGACTTTAGGAGCATGTGGACCGTGCCAGGGATGGGATGCACAGCCGTGGTGGCCCTGGTCTGCGGTGGCAGTAAACCCGAGGTTTCCCTCCCCGAGCACTCTGCAAGAGTTCGTGTGGGCTCATGCTCTCGATGTTGATGCGATCTTGATATGTGCTGTCTTGCGGCCCCAAACTGCCTGATTATTTCGACACTTTGAGCCTTTCGAGGTTTCCCAGTGCGACATGTCAAAGGCTAACATTCAGATACATGGCTTGTCAGAGAGCTCTTGTTGCCAGATAGAGCGGATCGTGCTGGTTTTGTCGCTGTGCATCACACGTGCGACTCTCATCTTGTCTCTAGCTCTTCTTGTTCCCTAGTGTCGTTGCGTGAAGTGTCATCTACAGCATCTAGTTTGTTCTTGAGAAGCCGTCGTCGCCCGCGCGGCCCGTTCTCCTCAAGCTTGTCATCAGTACCGACATGCTGCGGGTTGAAGCCTCGTTCGGGAAGTTTGCATCGCTCCATCGCAGCTGCAGAGCAGAGCCCACTTCTACTCAACGTCCACCTAAGTAAGCATAGATCCATGACTGGAACGTGATGGCGCCCAAGAAGAAGGCTCGCAGCTGCAGCGGACTATGTCGTTTCGTGATGTATTCTCAAGGCTCTCAGCTACCAACACGACGCAGGAAGGCTCTGCGGCGGACGTCCTGCAAGACGGCCCCGACGAAGAGGAGGAAGCCGGTCCTGGCAAGGCCGCATGCCACATGGCCCCCTTTTGGGAGACCGGCACTTGCTGTCCTGGTACAGGTGGTCATCCAGATCTCTGCTGAGGGGGTCCAGAACCTCCCAAGGGAGCCGCGCCCCCATCCTGCGTGGGTTCGCAGGAAGCTCACGTGATTTCCGCGAGGCTGCAGACACTCCTTGGCTTCAGTGGCTTCTGCAAAGAGTTCCGGTGCGGTGTCCCAGATGTGCTCGTGCTCCAGGGAGTCTGGGCACGTCTGGACTTTTCGCAGGACTGGGGCCTCCTCCGAGTCCGGCTGGGTCAGCCTCTCAGGAACAGACCAAAGTGCAGTGCAGCTATTGCAGTTTGGCGTTTCTCGCTTCGGACTGAGGAGTTTTCCAAGGACGCCGTCATCCGATTGCAGAACCAGGACACGGCGGCGCACATGGCGGCACTGTGTTCGCTGGCTCCACGGAGAGGACCTCTACAACGACGTGGTGCAGAGACCCTTGGTTCTCTCGGTGCGAGACACTGCTGCCGAGAACGCCCTCATAGGCAGGTGTGGGGGTGTGGGGAGCACATGGGCATTAGAGAGAGCTCGTTGTCTTTCACCTCCCTCTGTCCGGTCGGTTCCCTCAGGCTCCGCGGAGTTGAGCCTTGTCCCCTTGTTGCACAGCGTGACGGAGGCCATGGCCATCATGTATCTGCCGCGAAAACTTGCATGCCTGGGCGGCGCGATATGGTTTGAGTGCACTTGTGGGAGAAAGGTGACGGCCCAAGCGGAGCTAAAGCTGGAACCCGAGTACTACGCGAAGTGGTGGAAAGATGCGTGGGGCTCAGTCAACGCTGCAGCAGCACGCAACGGAGTCAGGGCCAGGTGACTGTCACGTGCGGTCGCCATGCCATTGCACCTAGCCAGGACGAGGCAGACGACCCGAAGGCCAAGAAGGAGCCAGACCTGCTGCTGCTGAGAAAATTTGGCTTTTGCTACTTCGTCGGCAGGACAAAAAAGCCCCGGTGCCCACGGAAACGCCAAAGGATGCGAGACTGTTCACTTCCTTCCTGTTGCGAAAGATAGATCAGGATTGGGTTGCTCAACCACAGGAGCGTGAGCCGCTGTTCGAGGGCGAGACTCCGCCTGCGACGGTCCTGTCTGCGCACCTGGCATGGTCAGGGCATTGTGGTTTAAGCTTTCAGCAGGCGGATGGACCTGGACCTGCTGCCAGGTGACCGTCCGGGCTGACACGCTAATAGGCCCCGAAGAGGCAGGTCAGCTTTCCGGCAACTGATCGGATTCTCGGCAGCGCGTTTGCTTCAGGACAGGGATTGCTGGACAACCCTGACTATGGATGTGGCAGGTGCAGGGACAGGGACGACGCGCCCGGTCTGTAGCGACTCAGTGACTCGCTCAGAGCAGCACAAGGCATCTTCGCCCTTCCAGAAAGCCTGACGACACTCGGAGTGTCCAGCTCGTTTCTCAATGTGCCCTGCAGCCAGACAAGCACCGATTTCGAGCATCCTGGGCCCCAGGTCCAGACGACTTTCAGGCCTTGCTTGCGCATTCTTCGCGAGACATTCGTACAGTGTAATGCTGGGATCCCTTAAGCTTTGGACCGCAATTTCGGAGAGTTTCGCAGCAAACGTGTCCATGTCCAAAACATTGGAACATGTCAATATTCTCTTTCATGTTGACGAGAGCGATATTGTTGGATGTCGAGACTTGATCTGATCTGCCAGGCGCATCCCATCAACTATCAGGGCATGTTGCTCGGGGAGCCTGGCCCTAAAGACCCGTGGGGCCGTTGGGCCTCGAGCTCATCTCCCGGCTTGCAAGGTCCCTGGGCGAGGGTGCTCTGACGAAAGCCGCCGAGGTGGCGAAGCGCACGAAACGACGTCGAAGTATCTCTGTTTTTCAGCTTCTCTCATGCAACGTAACGTCCTCTTCGCCCTCTCTCTTCTCAAGTCCTGGTTCAGCCAGCGACAGTTAGGCCCAGGCTGGAGGCCTAACCGGGCCAAGGCCAAGCCCAGCCGGATGCGACATGGGTGCCAGAAGCACAGATGCTACAAATGCTAGAGATATGGTAAGAGCCGAAAAGAGCAGAGCCGACGCAAAGTCACGGCAACTTCTTCAGCCATGAAACCAATGACGGTCCAACCGCAACCAAGCATAGTGACGGCATTGGATCATTGACAGAGTTGATGTGACAACATGGGTTGCGGCGGCAGCACGCAAAGTGCTCTGCTTCTGCAGGAGGCGCCACCGCGCTCGTCCCGAGCAGGTGATCGTGTTGATTTCATCATGCCATCCGTTCCAGGAGCCCTTGAAGGAAAGGAACACAGCGGGGCCTGGACCTTGTCAAACCGTGCCAGCTCCGATGAGTGTCATCTTTTGCACGAGCCATGAGCCCTTCGAGGTCTAACGAATCTACTGTTGAGCCGAACGATGAAGCACCTCCAGGCTCGTTCCTCAGTTCATGGTCTGACATGGATGTGAGCGGTGCTCGGCCAGGGGATTCCCTACCATGGAAGGAGGTCTGGCATCTCACTGCTGTGCGGCTCTCGTTCATGTGCAGTCCACATGTTGTGACAGGTTGTTAAAGTCGACTCGCAGAGATCTGCAAGATCTCAAGTTACCACAGGGGACTGCACTCCTGCCTGGTGCCCAGTCCGGTATATCTGGACGTAAGCAGAGCCGAGTATCCTCCTCTCATCCGGTTGTAGCGCGGTGGGTTCTGCGAAGCCCTTGCAATTGCCTCACTGTATATGTGTGCTTGAAGAGTGTTCGCGAGAGGCAGTGAGTAGCTGGTACCGAGGCAGAAGCCATCGAAGCCGTGCCAAGCGAGACCATCGACAGCCTGCTCAGTGTATGCTGCTAAGACATCCGTCGAACTGCATAGTTCTGCAAGGCTTGCATGATTTCTTATCAACAATTATTTAAACAAGTAGCAATATTTGGAAAAAAAGGTGGTAAGACGATGGATAATGTGCTGAACGCTCTGGAAGCGATTCAGAACATACTTACTTAATATAATATGTTACTAGAAGAGAAGATAATGCAACATGCCGAACACGTTAGTTCGTTTTTGCGCCACGTTGAGGCAGACTTTCTCCAGGCGGGCACTGGAGCGTCGGAGCCCCAATTCCGACCATGCAATGGGTTGACTGACTGGATCATTGAAGCCCTCAACCCTAAACCCTAAACCGGTGTTGTTGGGTGGATGATCACCCGTCTTCAAGCTGATGGATTGCGTTGCTTATCAAGCGGAAGCGCGTCGTTGTACCGTGCCTTGCTTTGCTTTGGCTGAGGCCGGACATGGAAAACAGCAAATTGAATGCCAATTTGCGAAAGTTTGCAGTCATCGATGCGGAAGGTCGTGGCTTGCTGCTTTGCTGTGCTCGTCGTGAGAGCAGACGGTTGTCAGCAGACCTCCTAAACCTTAAACCCCTAAACCCCAAATCCCGAAACCCTGAACCCCTAAACCCCTAAAACCCCAAACCCTGCAGGCACGATTCCTGAGGAATTCCCTCGCCTCGCGAGGCCTGCGCCTTGACTTTCCCAGCTACGCGCCCAAACCCCTGGCCAAAATGGGTGACTCAGGCTGATTATCCGAAATCAAGCCCGGATGCTGGCAAGATCCTGAGTGCTTGAGCAGCGATTTTCTGGGGGAAAGAGAGGGCCCTCACTTTCGGCTGTCGTCGAAAAGCTGTAACTTCCAGGCCGGCCAGGAGCTGAAGGTTTCCAGATGTTTCTCGGAAGACACCGCCGACTACTCCTTGGACCTTGGCAAAGGTTCGGGGGTTGTGGGCCCGGGGCCTCAGCCGACGCAGCCGTGGTCTGTGTTCGCTGCGTGTCTCTGTGTGTCTCAGTGTGTGGGTCTGAAGCCTCCAGCTTGACCGCGGAGGTTGTCGCAGGTTGACGGAGCCCGTTTTGGCAGACGAACGCTTCAAGCACATAGAAGGATCTGGCCATCGGACGAGCCCGACCCTGACAGCCGCAACCCGCAGCCGAAGTTCTTGTGAGTTTGCCACTGTCTCGAGGCCAAGAGCTGCAAGCGAAGCTATGGAGGAGCTGGCAGGAGAAGGTACGGGAGACATGAGGGGCGAGAGAGCCCACCACTCTCGCAGAAGCGGCTTCTGAGGATCCACGGCTAGCAGGACGACTCTCCGACAAGGAGGGCATTCGGAGTTCCGAACAATTTGAGTGCGATGTCCAGTACTGTGGCAGGAGGAACCGATTCAAAGCCCCATTCTTAGAGCCGGAAGGTGTGAGTTTCAGGGTTTTCGAGGTCAGTTTCGGTGCTGAGTTTCGGAGGGGAGTTTTGGGGCAACGGCCGGGGTAGTCTAGCGCCCCAAAACTGGGACCCGAAACTGCTGCTTCCTTC